GTGTATTGATGTATATATATTATACACATAAAAATGATTAATCGTGTAACGTTATGCAACATTAAAATCATTCAAAATTATATAACGATCTGAGTGTAACTATATGCAATAATGCAAATTAGGCAACTATCAATTTAACGATACGTATTATACCTAAGAGTAACAAATTTATTTTGCGATGTGTTTTTTTGTGCTATGAAAATATAAAATACGGAAAAAGAACCTGCACCCAGTCGCACACAATTTTCGCCGAACCTATTCAATTCTATATAGTATTTTATTACCCTAATGGCGTGAAAACGAGCAAAACTCTGAAACAAAAGCCTCTGGAGATGAATAATTCCGGTATAAATTACTTCTCCTCTCGCATATTGTGTGTGTATATATATATATATAATATGTGTACACATCACCAACGCATATGCTTTCATTATTGTTATTTTACCTATACACATATACACACACACACACGCACACCATCTATATGGAACTGTCGTATAATTTTATAAGCCCCAACTGCCTTTCCCCTGTTTTGGATATCTCATTCGACATTACACGTCGTAAAATAATTCTCTCGAAACTTCCAAGTCTGGCTTGTGTTTTGCAAAGTCACCAAGTGTTTTTTTCTACGTTTGTTTTTGATCAACGTGGAGTCGCACTACAAACTTCCAGAAAATGTCGTGGTGTACTAATACAATGTACCTACTGCAGATGTGTGACTTTAGCTCTAAAAGTTTTGCCAGCAGTCGTGACGTACACGTTCATGATCGACTTACAAACGTTTGTGTGGAGAAAATTGGCCAACAGGTGTGTGATGGGTTAGGATGGCCTGGGACTGTGGTACGAGTTAAAGTACCACTGACTATATGTCGAGATGGATATGACAAGACATATAATACAGTTAGCATGGCAAAATGTTAAGCGATTCATTTAGTTTGACACTCGAAATTAGTCAACGTCAATGACTGCGGAAAATGTTCAAAACAGTATTTCACTGCTTGACAATGTATCACTGTACGGTAATTTTTTTTATTTTTTAGTTAATAAACTAATTTAAAAAATACAAATACAAAATTATATAAATGCTGTGTTATAATGGATGAGTTTTTTGTGTATAAAAGACAGTTCGGCATGGTATCATAACCGATAACAAAAGTTCAAGTACTATTAAAGTGTTGGTAATAAAATAAGATTGTTATTATTATTCAACACACGTGTTATGAAGCTAACGTTTAGAAACAAAAAAAAATACATTATACTTGGATATATAAAACAACAATCATCGATTTCATGTGCACCTGTATATTTGAATAACAATAAAATTGTATTTCAAAGGTAATGGGAATAAATAAAAACATTTCTTTTTTCTTTTTTTGATATTGAAACATTTAAATTGTTATCGAATTCTATAAAATGTAATTTTTAATATTTATAATAAGATTAACAACAAGTTGTAAAATAATTTTTTTTAATTTTTGAGTACATTTTGTTTTTATGGTTAAGTAGAAATGTTTATACTTGCAAAATGGTTTGATTGTTTATTGATTATAGAATAAATAATAAGATAATACAAGTTAAGTATAGAAAGTTAAATAAAATAAACATAATTATTTCAAATTAAAATCAGTAGAATATTATTAGGTCCTTAACTACCCTTATGTTTTATTATTATAATATGTTGAATAAGATTACCTATTTAAAAACAAAACTATCAATAAAGTATATAAAAAATAGTATTTTAATATTTTTAATGTACTAAGGTCTAAGTGCATTATAATATGTTTTAAAAGTAAATATATGTTTAATGAATATTTTACTTCTTCGCATAAAAAATTATTTGAAACTATGTAACTGTAAATTTTATTTGTTGCAAAAAATATCTTAAGTTATTTTGTTTACAAATGTTTACAGTTTTTAATAAATATTTTAATTGGATTGAAGTCAACATAATATAGTCTAAGTTATAAATGGAAAATAAAATCTTTTTTTTTTTTTTTTAATAACATAATTGTACTTTTGAATGTAAAATTGAACATACTATTAATTTAAATATATTAACCGAGTGATTTAATTTTTTACCTCAATGATTTCCTTTACATGCATTTATAAAGACAAATAAAATAATCTCAAAAAAATAAAACCATAAAAATACTTTAAAGAATAATTAATAATATATATTTTTTTTTTTTTTTTACAAGTGCTTGCTAATAAGAGTTTAATTTATTATGATATGATGATTTGTATGTGTATTCATATTGTTGCTGGTATATTCATTTTAAAAGAATATATTTTTCGTTAACAAAATTAAGTCATATATTAATAAATAGTAATTGTATGTAATAATTATATGCAATTTATTTTTATTCTTATTAATAAAAAATAATTTGAATACAAATCATGTGAATTATAACTAAGTTAAAATAAGTTTTTAGATTCATACTAGTATTAACTTTTGGTATTCCAAATAATAGTTAAAATTATACATTATTTTTTTGAAATACGGTTTGTCGTGACAAAACCATGGACGCAACTCGGACAAAATATAATTCATGGACGCAATTCGAATGCACCGTCCAATGGACTTGGTTGAAATAATTTTCAATTATTTTATAATCATTGATAATAATTGTCTGAACATTTGAAATAATTGTACAAAACAGTGTTTTTATTGCTTGTAAGAGATTTTGATTTCGCAGGTATTATTTGAAAGAGGAGATGGGAATAAATGTAATAAGACTAGTGAAAACAAGGAGGTTAAAATGAAATGGATTTTGGACGGAGGATTAAACAATAGCAGAAACTGAAACGGTCTTTCGTGATCCTATCTAGTAAACTATCATTTCTTCTGAAAAAAAAAAAAAATGTACGTAAAGCACGTTCTAAGTTTCTTTTTATTGTTTTCTTTAAACGAACGTGTCTAAATCTACTTTGAGGAACATATGAAACGTTCTTCTGAAAGATAATGGAATTATAAAAAAAAGTCATCCTTTCTACAACATTACACCGGTGCTGTCCTTAATAAAAACAAAATAGCATTATAATATCTACCACATAGTCTATAATAGTAAAGAGTATACTATATAGCGGGTATTATCAGTATATACAGGTTACAGTGTTATTACAAACACGTATTAAAGGGTAGAACTGAAAAGGTTTTTAAGTCCAAACAATAATATTTCCTAGTGGCTACAATACATATTATATGATACGTAATTCGACTGAGTATCAAAATGTCGTGATAAATAACAATTTATACTCCACTTTAGATTTATATGAATAGATAAAATTATTATATTATGTTTATTTATTATAGACGAACAGACGCTATCGAACAACGGAAGGAGAAACTGAATTATCCAATTATTAGAAGAAATTTTTTTTTTTTTTGTTAAAAAACTTTTGTTCCGGACTTTAATTTTTTATTTTTCACACAGATAAACAAAATATACTTCATGGATATTATAAGATATGAAAGTGTACACTGTATAGCTTTTTGTTCCACTTTATTATGATCTTGTGTTTTGGTGAAAAATGTTGATGAAGTATAATATATATATATATTTATATAAAATATATGTGAAGTTAACAATAATTTACGAGCTGAGGAAACTTTCGCGTTACAAATATTATCTCCGTGGTATGTCGACCCTTTTAGATTAAGTCAAGACGAATTTAGCAGTCAAAATATTCGTTTGTGTCTGTGATTTATAAAATACCGAGAAAACTTTTGTGTATTATAATATGGTACTCTTGGTTGCGACGAAGAAATAGCGAATCGTCTACAGCGGTCATCGAGGGATTCGTAACGCGGCAACTTAAGAATTATTATGTCAAGGATTACGAGAAAGTTGAATAGTCCGCAGAAGTTATACTGAAAAGCCATTGCGTAATTATGATTTATGAACCGTAATGAGAAAAGAGATAGCTTGTCTGGTGAACAATGTTTGATTATGAGTCGATCTAACCTTTTTTTACGATTACATGAGCTATTCGATTAAGTAAAAAATAAAAAAAATATGCTGTAAATTATTAATATACTATCCATCATAATGGCCTCCTATACGCAAATCAATCGTAGTAAAATCAAAAGTGTATTAATTATTTTCTAAAGAAAGTTATTGTGGTATTGTAGCTGTATAAATTAGATTTGAAGTTTAATTTGAATTCATGTTCTGTATACTGTGACAGACTCGCGTTAATCCAGGGTTATTGAAATTTGTTGCATTCTTGATTAATTGATTACACCAGTTAATGAGAAAACGTTAATTAAAACATATTTTCTACGCTCGAGTTGCACTGTATCGGCTGAAACTTTTTTAACTTACGACATTTTTTCCGATTTGCAATTGTTTTTTTTTTTTTTTTACATGAATAAAGAAAAAATAAATTAGGCTTACTGTTAAAGCTATAAAATAATTAAACACGATGAAATATGATGAATTTTAATTTTTACATTATCAACCTCAGGGTATTCGTGTACTCGGATTATAATATATAATGACTAGAGCTGAAGATTATAATATAACCATCTTATTGTTCGACGTCATGTTCATACACAAAGTTTTGTGCTCGTTTAAAGCTGTTTTGAGTTTGACTATTGGGGAGGGGAATAAGGGAATATTATCGTTAATAACACTCCTGTCTGCTTACACAGCCAACGGTATATAACGAGTACACGGTGAAGTACCTTATAGTCTGCAAATAATATAATAATATTATAATAATAATAATAATAATAATATGGGTTTGAAGGTTTCGAACGTTATTACAGTTAAAAAGAAACCGCCTTACTCAATATGCTTTACTGCTTTATGTCAGATCAATAAAGCGATTTATTATTTTCTATTGCTTTTGTTTTTCTCGCATTTATGAATAACTAGAATGAAATAACGGGCCTTATATACAATTGAATCACGTATCGTGCTGATTTTGCAGTTTGTAACCATAAATAAATATATTTATAAAATATATAGCGCGTGTATGTGTATATAAGTACTTACGATACACTGCTGGGGACCCTGTCTGTTGGGAGACATAGCTTTTGCCACCGGTTTTGACCGCCTCGACATATTTAATTTGCTTAAATCTGCTGACTTAACGTCTTCCGAGCTGCCAACTGTAAACAGAAACAAATAATTAAATACTATTCTTGAATATATATCCATAATAAGACTGTTTTTACACTGTTTTCAAACAGTATTATGTTTATATATTAGAAAAAAAAAATAGATAATTGTTTATTTTATTTTTCTGTCGTAAATGATAAAAATATTGGATGAATCATGAAGAGAAAAAAAAAGAATCAAGAAAAACAGTGTAGTCTTAACTGAGACTTTATATAAAAGTTAAAAATAAAACGCATTACGTGTCAACGTTAATTTATTACCAGAGTCGAGCACATAAAATATTACTCTACGATTTATTAAAGAAAATGCATAAATGAGTACAATTACATAATAATTACCATAATATTATTATGGTATTCGTATTATTCAGTTTGATTGCATTTTACGCGTTTGCGATGTATTTTTTTTCTATACATAATTATATACATGTTTTAATGACGTGTGCAGACTATAAACTTCGACGAGACATATTTCGTTAATTATTTCATTCTAAACCGACATAATATTATTATTATTATTATAATCATTCGGTGCATGTCGACGACATTTATTTATGATGGTAATTTTTTGTCATAGATAGTTAGACATCTCCTACAGTAAAGACTTGGCCAAGCGTAGTTAAATTTGAGTTTGTCAGACATAGATACACACACAAACACACACTACACACAAATAATCACTCATTAAATCTAAGGGATAATAATCTGTTTGAACGAAAAATCATTCACTTCAGGTATTTGCCGAAGGAAATTGTCAATTGTTGACAAAGCGACAGATAATAAAGACGGTATAATATAGAAAGCAGAGACGTTTGCTCCGACGAACCGCGAGCATATAATATATCTACAGTCTCCCTGTGCACATAACAATATATTATTGTGTGTGTCTATATTAAACAGACGCACGCGCGAGAGAGCATTTTCAGCATCTACTGAATATTACGAACGTATATTATATGTTACAAATATATGCATATGTGTAATATATTCTTCCGCGTTCACCGAACCAAATGTTCATATCATTCCGGGTCGACTGAAACGTCGGACGATTTACCTCGACGTCCTGCCGCGGATTTTGCACTGCGATCACAACAGCTGTATTGTGTCGACGTGAAAGAATTACACACTCCGTAGGCATATTATTATTGTAGTATGAGGTTACGGTTATACATACCATAGCGAATTCGACGTGTCCGTTATATACGATCATAATTATTATAATACGTTATTATTGTTTTGGTCATCCGAAATCGAACGGACGTAGTAATGAGATTCGGTGATCAACGTGTGTTGTTATCAATAGTAATATTATGGATAATACACGGCCCAGAAAATGATCAAGATACGTCTCAACCGGGTCAGAGTTTGTAGTTACCACAGACGTCTTATAAGATATGTAGTAACGACGTGAGCAGATTGTGCATTTTATTGAGTAGTAAATTTAATACTTAATTACTTAAAACGTTTAAAATAACTAAAGACATTACATATTTACACATACTTGTAATTTTAACAATATAATAATTTTACAGTCATCAAATTAAAGTCAATTTGACGTTTCGCCGCTGCATTCGTTTATATGGTGACGTTGACAAATTAAGAGTTAACCTCACTACAGTTTTTCGTTATAAATCACACAAAATATACGAAGACGGTTCGTGTTGCATTTAAGTATTTTACTGAATCTCTAAAATCTCAAACGTGGATAAACAAAGGGGTTGTGTATTTTCGCGCGATGCTTACATTTCACATTTGTATGATAACGATGAAAAGTTTGACTTGTTTATGTACGAGCTGAGATTAAACCTAATATTTGAGAAACTAAATTTCATCTGTAAACTACAATAAAATATTAAGCTCATTTCATTCCGAAAACGCGTGTGTGTAAATTCGAAATCGAGTAGCTATACCAATACTCGTATCGATCATTTATTATGAGTATTATAACTATAAAATTCTTAAACACACGTGTAACGAGTTAATTTAATATTGTTTCAGACAATCACGACCAAGCTCGGTCAATTACTATCTTTATATCTTTATGTCGAGCACCTATGCTGTAAAATATACTGTCCAATTTCGATAACTCTCATGAGAAGGAAAAACTAATAGAAAATGTTTCAGTATAGCGATAATTAAGGCTGCAGTGTTGCACGACTACATTTCTGTATATGTGTAATACTACGAGCATATATTACGTAAGGAGTTGGTAGACACAGTAAAGGTAGGCAGTTAAATACTCCATGGACATTTATTTTTTAGGTTTACGAGATTACACGAACAATAATTAATATTAGGCGTTTATACGTAAAATAAAAGTTATGTTCCTAAATTATATTACCTAAATGTAGTGTTAACATTCGATTTGGGGAAAAATGTATTAGTAGTAAATTATCATAACGTCTAATGTCAAATATTTGCTCTATTTGTTCTTTTACTAATATTTATCTATTTATTAATAGATATTTCTATCAAATGGATAATGAATGATAATATTATATACTTCTTTATAATATTAAATATATTTTAATTTTATATGATTTTGCAGTGAATATCTAACGAAATTGATATTATGTGCATTTAACGGTAACTATAGTGATGAGTGGTTAAAAAAATCTTTCTTTGCACACCTATGGGTGGGGTTACTATCCCCTTAACTTATTAATAAATTAAATTTTTTTTTTTTTATCATTTATGAGTAGCTTGTCTTAAAGTGTCTGAGCACGATTATGAGGTAGTTGCTATTACGAACTACCCAATAACATAATATTGTGCTCGAGTGATTTTGTATTAAGTAGGTATGTCAAGTAATCGTTACCACGGGTGCTATTGAATGAATTGACAGCAACCCATGTCGTCGCGTGAACGGATTTAATACGCATTAAAGATAAGGAGAAAATACAAATTAAGAACGTCATTGGTTATTTTTCAACAACTTTTCACGCAAGCTCAAACACATCTCTCAATTATTTCAAACGCACAAATACTTTACGGCTGTGCGTCGTCCACTTTTGCGAGAAAAACGGTAAGTATTATATTTTATATATATATATATATATATATATATTATATGCGCGTGCATAGCACGATCGTTGTCGGTGGTACTTAGTGTGAAAATGTCTGTTGAACACATTGCGAACTTTAACTGCGCTCCGTTTACTTTCTCCCCCGTTTTTGTTTTATTTTTTTTTTTTTTTTATAGCACTTCTTCCGAATCTCATCAACCTTTTTATGGCGAATTCATTACGCAACGAGTTTCCCGAGTAATATATTTTACATTCGCTCGTTTATGTTATAACAAACGTGTGAGGCCTCACCGAACCGATCCTACTGAAAGCGGAGTCGTTAGTGGGAGTGCAGGTTTTCAGGGATAGTATAAATTGTTCGAGCTATACCTGCGTGCCTGTAAATTTCGATTTATGATATGCATGGTTGAGGATAGAGGGCATACATTATGCGAGCGAGCGGTTTACGCGGTGCGGTATCAGACTATGAAATTTTATGGTTGTCGGTAGCGACAACGGAAACATACGATATAATATATAAATATATATTTACATACCTAATTTATGTACGACTTATATATGTATATATAGTATACACGACGTCGACTAAAACGATGACATTGGCGATAATAACGCGGAAAGAGAGAATTTTTTTTTTTTTTATTATTATTGGCTCATTTAAAATTGAATAAGTGTAAATCATCATTATGATGATCGATTACAATCGCAATTTCTCTTTAACAGGATACTTATATATATATATATATATATATTTAAAAATAAAATATGTATTGAATGAACTGTACTATTACGATTTGAAAATATATAAATATAATGTACGTGTTGTTCTTGGTATAGGAAATATCCAATTGACACATTGTTTGATATTTCTAAAAGTTTTGACCTGAGTGAGTGTAGTACATTGTGAAGTCATAACTATAATTTTGGAATATATCATCACTGAATATTTTTTCAACTTTTTTGGATGACAATGACTAATAACTAAATCGAATATAGCCATTTTTTACCGTATTTATAAATAATCATTTATATTTTCACATTTAAACTCATTACTTAACAAATTCAAAATCGTAATAATAGATCGATACGCTATATCGATGTTATATTTACCAAATGTATATAAACCAAATATATAATGTATAAATGTATACTTAATATATACACATACGTTTATTACATATATAACAATAATAAAAAATATTGTATAACAATTTATAAAATGCATATCGTTATTTTTTATTCTGAGGTTTATGAAAAAAGCAACCCTGACTTTTATACGTAAATATATAATATGTATGAATATATTATGTGTTGCAATATTATTATATATCGCAGTAAAACTCAATTATTATTAGTTTTTCTGGTGAAATAATACAATCATTTTTTTGTAATACTCGTATAATTTTGTTGTCAGTCAATAACAATGAACTGGTTTTGACCTTAAAAATAATAAGATTAAAAACAATACCTAATATAAAACCTAATATAAACGTATACAAAATATGTATTATATTACTTATACGAGCTTCTGATGAAAGATTAATTCACCATTTAATATTTCATGAATTAAAACAGTACAATTGTCCGGTTGAATCTTTATTAATTTTGAAAATAATTGATGTACTTAAAAAATAATGTTTATTATATACAGCTAGGTTAACGTGAATCAAATAATTGTATTTTTACATAGATTTAAAGTTATCTAATAAGTAATAACCACTGTATGACATATGAAATATATATTAATTTTGATTTAAATGCATACAGTTATAATATTGGGTACAATTATCTATATAAGATTATTTATTTCATATAGTTTGTGTAATACCATGCCATTTTTACGACTTGACATTTGATCATCTATAAATTATAATCTATCGAGCAGAACACGATTTTTAGTCAAAATCAAGGGCTATTTTATTTTTTAATGAAATTCATGAAATGTTTTGTACTTAACACAACGTA